AAGCAAAGTTAAAAAGATTTGCAAATTATATATCTAACAAAGATCTAGTATCCAGAATACATAAGAAATTCTTAACTCAACAGTGAAAAGACAACCAAAAAACTGGGCAAAGGAATTTAATGCACATCTGTCCAAAGACGATATACATAGAGCCAATAAGTATATGAAAAAATGATCAATATATTAGTCACCAAGGAACGCAAATCAAAACCACAATAAAACACAACTTCACATCCAAATAAGATGGCTAAAGTAAAAACTACAGACAATAACAAGTGTTGATGCGGATGTGGAGAAATTCAACCCTCATGCATTCCTGGTGGGAATGTAAAATTGTGTATGCATTTTAGAAAACATTTTAGCAGGTTCTCAACATGTTAAACATAGAGTTAACAATAAAATAGCAAAAATCATTTTCCTTTAAGAAAGAAGTAAAGCCTGGCTTCAATTTTTCTTACACAACTTTAAATACTGGAAAATAGTGAAGCAACTACTTCAAAGTTAAAAGAACGTTTGTGACTCCAAAATTCCATACCCAGCTAAGGTTGCAGAACTGATATCCACATCTTTCCTCAGAAATGTGCTCTAGGCCATCAACAAAAAGATTCTTTTTAATCCCTCAAAGATGGAAAAGTCATGGCATAAAAATTTGACAAAGGGAATCAAAATTGTTTACTCAAACAACTCTAAATAATTGTTGTAACTTATATTCATCTGTCACATTTAATACTCAAAAATGAAAGCATTTCATGTACAAGATAGCCCAGTGACAGTGTAAGAGAAAAAAGATACACAGGAGCTAGAAAGAAAAGGAAAAGAAAGTAAGTGTGCCAATCAACTCAATTTATATAAGAAAAATCAATGTTTCATTCTTGATGTTGATATTTAAACAATGTATGTTCTTTTCTTGTCTAAGAAAAAAGAGTCACCATAATTGAATCAATAAGCAATAAACGAAAAGTTGTGGATGAAATTGAAAATATTCTTGAAGAAGTATTTCTCATGAGTTTCCAGCCACAGACATTTTCACAGGCTGGGTTTTCAGACTGTCATGGAACAGATAATTTCCATGCTAGATAAGTGTTTCCAGAGAACACAAAAAGGTGGCATGTTTCCCAATAATTCATTTCCCAAAGCCAGCATGTCCTAGAGACACAAGCAAAGACAGACTAAAAAGGGAACTAGACACAGATGCCTTTTATGAATACAGATGCAAAAACGATATGTGAAATAAAGAGAAAAAGGACTATGCTTATGTCGATAGATACTGAAAAGACATTTACTAAACTTTATAATAAACTAGGAAAGAAAAATACTTATTTAACATGATTAAAAATACCTACTCAAAGTCAATAGCTAATACCTACCTAACAATAAATACCTAACAGTAAATCTGGTAGTATTCTCACTTAAACAATGGAAAAGACAAAGCAGCTTACTGTGGCCAGCATACTCTCAGATCCACAACAAAATAAAAGGAGGGAAAACTATATATATACACATATTATATACTCACACACACACACATTCACATATACTTTTTGAAAAGAAAGGTGAAATTTTGACATTATTCAAATTTGGTATCATTGCCTACCTGAGAAAAAGAAAATAATGTAAAATTATACTAATTTTTTAAAAATTTTAATAATAGGAACATAAAAAGCAGTCATTGTCCTACATATCAGCATTAACAGAGAAACAATGGGAAAATAATTATATTCACAATTTTAAAACTGAGTACCTGGAAATTAACCTTGCAAGAAGTCTGTCAGGCTCAAATAATGAAATCCATAAGCCCAAGAGAGCACCACAGAAAATATTTGAACAAACGGAGAAATATAGTACACTCCATATCTAAAAAGAAATGCTAAGAAGATGTACATTTTTGCCAAACTAATTTATGAACTTGATGCAACTCAAACTTCCAATAGAATTTCGTAAGCGAAATTGGTTATAAATGTTGTCTAGAAGAATGAAAAGCAAAACAAAAACAAAAACAACAAGGCAAGGAAATTTTTAAGAAAATAATAACATGGATGCATATAGGATAGTTCAGGCTGAAATAAAGTGGCAATAAGTAAGTGGGTGAAGTACTAGGGCAAAAATACACACGGTGATCGCTAGTGTAGAACACAGACCCAGAAATATGTCCAATATATACAAGCAGTCAGCCTAGACCACCATCCCTGGATACCCACAAGGGATTGGGTTCAGGACTCCCTACAGGCACCACAATCTGAGAATGCTCAAGTCCTGATATAAAATGGTGTTGTATTTGCATAAAGCCGACACACACCCTCTCATATACTTCAAGTCATCTCCAGATTACCTGTAACACCTAAAACAATGCAAATCCCATGTCAACAGTTGTCATTGGAATGCACCGGTTTTATTTGTATTGGTTTTTATTGTTGCGCTGTTATTGTTTTTCCTGAATATTTTCCATCTGTGGTGATTAAATTGCAGAAGTGGAAGCTGCAGATAGGAAGAGCGACCTTAACACTGTTTGGAACTGAAATCTGCGGGAGGCAGAGCAGAGACCCAGAACCCAGGCCTCACAGCCAGGCTGTCCAGAGGGAGCCCCGTTTCCATCATCTAGCAGCTGTGTGACCCTGAGCAAGTTCCTTAACTTCGCTTTGCTTTACATTTCTTTGTCAGTCAAATAAAGAAAATAATATCTCTCTTACGAGGTTGTTGTGAGGATTGTATAAGTTAATAGATGAAAAGCCCTAAAAAGAAGGCCTGCATATATCAAGTTCTATAGAAGAATTTATTAAAGAAAACAAATAAGTTATGTTAGAAAAATTAGTTAATTGGGAGGACAATAAATAGGCTCTATCCGTGCTCACACTACACACCCTGAAGGAATACCAGGTTCAGTTACAAAATAGAATTATTAAACAATAAGTAGAGAGCAGATAAAATACATGATCTTGCGGCAGTGAAGTGTTTTGAATATGACGGGGTGCGGGGAGGTTTAGGGATGGTGAAATACAAAGCTCTGGAAAATCAGGAAAAGCAGCAATTCCTATACTGAGCTGCCCTTGTAAAACAGCCGAGAGCGCTCAGTTCATGTTTGAGCTAAATATCATAGGGTGTAACATCTATACAAATTTAAGGGGAAAATCAACAGGTCTGGGTAAAAATAATTTCTGGAATAAGATAAATTATTCCTGCATTCTCAGTCTTTAGTCTATGAAAATCCTCAGAAAATAAAAACAGGAAAACCAAAATGCCTCCCAAGAACGTCATCCTTTTTTTAAAATTAAAAACATTTTCTAAGGAATCAAGTTTCCTCATTACTGCTATGAAACCCACAAAGAATGTATGTTTTCTCCAAAAAGAGTGTGTGCCTGAACGTAAGATTACCGGGCACGCTGTGATGAGCTGGGAACACCATCTCATCTCTGCACAGAGCCGCCCTTCAAAGACGCAAGAGCTGGGAATATCAGCAAATCAAACTGCACAACATGAAGCGCTGTCTCGATCGCACCATTAGCTTACTGCTATCATTTGTAGGAAATACGAGGCACTAAAATTCTGACACCACATTCCTTGCAGAGATTTGCAACAGGAAGAAGAAATGGCAGGGCATGAACCCAGTCTCTCAAACGAGTCGGCCAAACCTTGACAACTGACCTAATGCCACTGCAGGTCATCCCACAAAAGCCCAACCCGAAGTCAAACGGCTCCCCACGCAATCTGAGACTGCCAGGCAGGCCCCGTTATTCCAGGGCCACAGAGGGAGCCCGTGCCCTTGGCGAAGACGCCAGGGTTCCAGAGACGACTGGATAGCAGCAGCTGTCACAAAGCCTGTTCCCAGGCAAAACAGAAACTGGAAAAGTTGGTTTCCGGTGCCTCTGCACACTCCCCACCCCCGCCCTTCAACACCTCCTGCCATCATTCCCCTCCACCCGCTTGCATGCGGCAGCTTTTGCTGTACCTAAAAGGACTTGTTTTGCAAGTGAAGACTTGTCACCAGGAGAAGGATGCTGCCATGATGGGCGCTTTACACACATGTTCTAATCACAGCTATCCTGAAAGACAAACCATGTTCGCATCCTCATTTTACAGAGAAAGGCCCGAAACCTCTATGAGTGAAGAATTTGCCAAACGGGGCCCTGCCTCAGCCCCCTGGGCCCTGCCGTACTCCAGGAGAGATGGGCAGCGCCCTGGGTCCTGGGTAGCCATGGAGGGAGGCCCTGCACCTTCCGAGGCAACCGGTGCCACCCACAGACACAGCGCCTTCTCCTCTGCCCCCACCTGCCCCCTGCTTGGGGCTTTTGGACCCTCTGCCCCCACCCAGTGTGCCTACTGTGTTCTCTCCTCGGGAGGACCCTGTTGTCTGGTAAGATCACAGTGACACCCGGTGTGGAGGCAGCGTGGGTGGCCGGTGACTATCTCCTCATACCACATGCTCAGCTTCCAGGGAGCCCTTGATGGGTGGGCCCAGCGCTGCTCCCACGGCACCAAGAGAGACAAGGTCTCCACCAACACAGCGTGAGCGGGGAGGGGGCCGTGAGGAAGGACAGTTCTGTGTCCTGGTGTCAGTGAGTGGGTTTTAGAGAAGAATGTCTAGGTCTCGGCCGGGCGCGGTGGCTCACGCCTGTAATCCCAGCACTTTGGGAGGCCGAGGCTGGCGGATCACGAGGTCAGGAGATCGAGACCATCCTGGCGAACACGGTGAAACCCCGTCTCTACTAAAAAATACAAAAAACTAGCCGGGCGAGGTGGCGGCGCCTGTAGTCCCAGCTACTCAGGAGGCTGAGGCAGGAGAATGGCGGGAACCCGGGAGGCGGAGCTTGCAGTGAGCTGAGATCCGGCCACTGCACTCCAGCCTGGGCGGCAGAGCGAGACTCCGTCTCAAAAAAAAAAAAAATCAGCCGGGCGCGGTGGCGGCGCCTGTAGTCCCAGCTGCTCGGAGGCTGAGGCAGGAGAATGGCGGGAACCCGGGGGGCGGAGCTTGCAGTGAACCAAGATGGCGCCGCTCACTCCAGCCTGAGCCACAGAGCGAGACTCCGTCTCAACGAAAAAAAAAAAAAGAATGTCTAGGTCTCCTCCAGCTTCTTCTACCCTCTTATCTATAGATGCAGGCCAAATTGTTTAAATGTCCTGACCCTTCGTCTGTAAAATAGCGCTATGACCGCCCACACTGCTCCTGCCTCTTCTCAACAGGGGGTTGTACAGATCCCAGAGGGAAGCCGCACACGGGAAGGTTGTTGAGACGGGAGAGGGAGACTGCGCAGGCTACAGGTAGATGCTGCTTCTGAAGCTGCTGGCGGATTGGGACACGCATCACAAGGTGGCGTTTGCTTTTAGAACCCAAATGAGTAAGATCTCTGAGTTATAAGCACCTCTCACCTCAACCGGCAGCAGCAGAAGGGGCTGGGTGGTCATCACGGGGTCTCCTAGGAACACAGAGCCGGCCTGGCCTGGCCCTGTCCACTTACTGCCGGTGAGACCCTGGCCACGTTACTTCATGTCTCGCAAACTCACTTTTCTCACCTGTAAAATGGGTTCCTAGCTGTGCCTCGCCTGCTTGCTGGGTGGTGAGGATCACAGCCTGGATTGGGAGACGGGTGGGGCGCGCACCAACAGGCAGGCAGGAAACGAAAGGCGGCTCCAGCTTGCCCAAGGGCCAGAGAGAGTCCGTGCTTGGTGTGTGCTGGAGACGGGGCTGAGAGAGACACAATGTTATTTTCCTGGAGGTGGGACTTCTCCTTTGGCTGGAGTACCCAGCTGTGGACAGGAAATCATTTGTTTGTTGTTAGCCTGGGAGAGGACGTAAGGACCCACATCTCTGCGCTGCTTGCCCTGGAATGTGACTTACTGGAAACCTGGGTAACTCGTAGATGATACAAACGACTGAAATGAGACCCTGGAAGCTGCTCTGGCCTCAGCCCAGGTGCAGCCCTGAGGCAGCAGCCGGGCAGCCAGACCTGAGAGCTGCTGGGGCTGCAGGAACTCGGCCACATCCAGCCACACAAAACAAAACAAAACAAACATTTCGGGCGATCCTGGGGCAGCATCCTTTCCTCATCCTGCCTGGGCCAGGAGCCTGGGGCTATGAAGTCGTAACGACTTATCCAGCGCCTTCTGTCCAGAATCGGGGGCCCCTCCCAAGAGGAAATACAGCATCACAAAAGTCCACACAGAGGCACGCTGGCGGCTGTCGCACTTCGTTGATCCCTGTAACAGATGCTGAAACACCAGCTAGTAAAACGGACACTTTGGGGCTGACATCTGCTGCTGTGCCAGTAATGAGCACTTCCTGTATGCACGCACCTGGCTGCCAGGCGCAGGAAATCCACACAGGCCGCAGAATAATTTGATTCAGACACAGCGCGCACTGTTTCTGAGCTTTCGTGATTTCATCTTCCGGAAGGCGAAAATCATCCCTCTGCAGAATTGGATTTTTATTTGCTGGTGTTCACCTGACAGGAGGCATCTCCCGGGAAGAAGCAGTGCTTGCCTCTGCAGGGCAGGCTTGTTTTGTCTCCAAAATGCCAAACCAGCTGCTTTTTTAATCCCATGGAGGCTGTCCAGACACCAGACATTACTATATCCCTGGAATTATTCCCTGGGCAGCCGCAAATGGAGCCGGGAAGAACCTGCCGTGAGTGGAGCTGCAGTGGAGGGTGGAGGGTGGAGGGTGGAAGGTGGAGGGTGGAGGGTGGAGGGTAGGAGGGTGGAGGGTAGGAGGGTGGAGGGTGGAGGGTGGGAGGGTGGAGGGTAGGAAGGTGGAGGGTGGAGGGTGGGAAGGTGGAGGGTGGGAAGGTGGAGGGTGGGAAGGTGGAGGGTGGAGGGTGGGAAGGTAGAGGGTGGGAAGGTGGAGGGTGGAGGGTAGGAGGGTGGAAGGTGGGAAGGTGGAGGGTGGGAGAGTGGAAGGTTGAGGGTGGGAAAGTGGAGGGTGGGAAGATGGAGGGTGGAGGGTAGGAGGGCAGAGGGTGAGAAGGTGGAGGGTGGGAAGGTGGAGGCTGGAGGGTAGAAGATGGAGGGTGGGGGTGGGTGGCTGGGAGCACTTCATGTGGTGGAGGAGCTCATCACACAGGAAGGGAACGCCTGCAGCCCCAGCTGGCAACGCCATCCAGACTGCGCTCAGCATCCACAGCAGCACACACAGGGCGGCAGGAGTCCTTCCTCAGTGCAGAGAGCACCGGAGCTGCCCCACCCTCTCCTAGCCATCTGCAACTACTGGCCCCCAAGGAGAACAGTAAGAAGAATTCAGAGGAGCTAAAATCACCAAGATTGAGCTAAAGCCCCCGGGACACGCCAGAGGAGCCTCCATTAGCTCTGTCCCAAATCCATCCTGAGGAAACAGATCAGAGGCAAGAGGCAAAGGGCCAAGATGAGGCCCCAACACCTTCTTCTTGAATGTATGGGGGCCAGGAGACAACAGTCACACCCTCACCCCAGCCTGGTCTGCAGGGTCTGTCCCCCCTGCTTGGTTCTTCCCTAAAGCAACTCACAAAGCCGCTGCAGACAGCAGGACTGCAGTTTTTGAGGCAAACGTTGAGACACAGGTTTTGACAATTTAAAAAAGATTTTTCTCATTAGTAAATGTATTTGAGATGTTAGAGGTTTCACAAATCATATTAACTTATATGTGAATTAATATATTTTGTTAAATAACAAATTTATATTTTAATAAACAATAAATAATATGTATGTGTGCACCTGCTCTGTTCCACACACTGGGACTCTGTTCCACACACTGGGACTCTGTTCCACACACTGGGGACTAGCTTGATGTATTAGTCCATTTCATGCTGCTGATAAAGACATACCCGCGACTGGGAAGAAAAAGAGGTTTCATTGGACTCACAGTTACACATGGCTGGGGAGGCCTCAGAATCATGGTGGGAAGTGAAAGCACTTCTTACATGGCAGCAGCTAGAGAAAAATGAGGAAGAAGCAAAGGCAGAAACCCGATAAACCCATCAGATTTCGTGAGACTTACACACTATCACGAGAATGGCACAGGAAAGGCTGGCCTCCATGATTCATTTACCTCCCCTGGGTCCCTCCCACAACACGTGGGAATTCTGGGAGATACAATTCAGGTTGAGATTTGAGTGGGGACACAGCGAAACCATATCACACGACCAAGGCAGATGGGACCCTGCTCGAACGTTGATGTTTCAGTGGGGGTGCCAGGAGGGCACTGGGAGACACACGAGAACGCAAGAGAAGACCACCTTTTCCCTGGTTGAAAAATATATCTATATAACATCAGCTTAGGATCTTAAGTGTGGAGTGCAGCCGGGCTGGAGCTTCTCACCTGGCAAATCTGAAACCAGGGATCCATGAAACAACCCCCAGACACACCCTCCCCACTGCCCTGGCACCCACCATTCTCCTTTATGTTTCTAAGAGTTTATGCCAGGGACCTCACAGGAAGTGGAATTCCACAGTATTTGTGCTTCTCTGATGATGTCCGCAAGGTTTATCCAGGCCACAGCATGTCAGGGGAAACATCACTTTCAGGTCAGAAAATGACAGAAGCTATGAAGATGACAGAATCAGCTGATCTGATTAAGGAGTCATGGGGGCTGGGCACAGCGGCTCACATCTGTAATCCCAGCACTTTGGGAGGTCAAGGCGGGCAGATTGCTTGAGTCCAGGAGTTCATGGCCAGCCTGGGCAATAGGGTGAAACCTCATCTCTACAAGCAATTTAAAAATTCACCGGTTTCAGGCCAGGCGAGGTGGCTCATGTCTGTAATCCCAGCACTCTGGGAGGTCAAGGCAGGTGGATCATGAGGTCAGGAGATCGAGACAATCCTGGCTAATACGGTGAAACCCCATCTCTACTAAAAATACAAAAAATTAGCTGGGTGTGGTGGTGCACGCTTGTAGTCCCAGCTACTCGGGAGGCTGAGGCAGGAGAGTCGCTTGAACCCGGGAGGCGGAGGTTGCAGTGAGCACGATCGTGCCACTATACTCCAACCTGGGCAACAGAAAGAGACTCCATCTAAAAAAAAAAAAAAGCTGGTTTCCAGCTTCATCCATGTCCCTGCACAGGAACAGAAAACCAAACACCTCATGTTCTCACTCATAAGTGGGAGTTGAACAAGAACACATGGACACATGGAGGGGAACATTACACACTGGGGCCTGTCAGGGGGTGGGAGGCAAGGGGAGGGAGAGCATTAGGACAAATACCTAATGCATGTGGGGCTTAAAACCTAGATGACGGGTTGATGGATGCAGCAAACCACTATGGCACATGTATACCTAAGTAACAAACCTGCACATTCTGCACATGTATCCCAGAACTTAAAGTAAAATTTTTTTAAAATAGAAGAATATCTGGACATATTATGACTGAATCCAGTGCCTTTCAGGTTTTATTTTTCAATAAATAATGAGTAACATTTAAAAAAAGAATTAGCTAAGCATGGTAGCATGCACCTGTAGTCCCAGCTTCTTGGGAGGCTGAAGCAGGGGGATCACTTAAGCCCAGAAGGTTTAGGCTGCACTGAGCCGTGATCGTGCCACTGCACCCCAGCCTGGGTGACAGACTGAAATCGTGTCTCACAAAAGAAAAGAAAAAAAAGAGCGATGTGGGCTGCATTCATTTTCTGTGGCTGCCATAACCACATGTTCAGCGGCTGAAACCACACGAGTGTGTGATCCTACCATTCCCAGGGGTCCCCAGTCTGCCGGCTGCCTTCCTTCTAGAGGCCCTGGGCGTGTCTGTTTCCAGCTTGTGTGGGTTGTTGGCAGAATTCAGCTCCTGTGGCTGCAGGACAGAGGTTCCCTTGCTAAGAGCTGCTTCCTGCTCCTGTGAAAACCCCATTCCTCAGAGCTCAGCCCCTTCCTCCACCATCAAAGCCAGCATCGGCTGTCCATGCATCTCACATGGACCCACGCTGCTTCTTCCTCCCACCTCTCCCTTCCACATCTAAGGACATTTATAATCACGCTGGGCCCCCACAGATAAGCCAGAAAACCTTAAACTTTGTATCCTCCATTCCCTCTGCAAAGCCCCTGTTGCCACAAAGCATAACATACTCACAGGTACCAGCAATGGGGACATGGACGTCTTCAGGGCTGTGATTCTTTTCCTGAAGGGGCTGCCTCAGATCCAGGACACAGAAGCTCTCCTGCAGATTCTGTGATATTTGAACAGACATGGACGTCAAGACAGAGTTCGCCACATGCAGAACCAGGGAAAGCCATCCCTGCAAAGCTATGGCAAGTGGCACGTCCCCAGGGCAGGGATGAGCTCGGGGATGAAGGGGACAGGGGGACGAGGACCGAGGTGGGCAGGGACCTGGACCGCAGAGAAGGGCCTTGGGTTTACTGTGCAATCAGAAACCATGAAAGGCGTTAAGCACAAATGACATGATCGGATTTATATTTTTAAAAGATCACTCTGTTATTTGACATTTGAAATGATATTTGAGATGTGCTTGGAAAGCACAGGTAGGCTTTAGACAGATGAAGAGGGGAGACATGTGTGTCAGGTACATAGAGCTGGGACACAGCCTGGAGGCAGGAAGCGGACAGAGAGCGGTAGAGCACCAGGCCCCAGGGTGCAAGAGACAGCCCAGCTGGAGGGACCCTGGGGGAGGAGAGCTGGAAGCACCCTGGGAGGTGGTGGCTGGGGAGAGCCTGGGGGTGTGGGCAGAACTGTAGGTGGGGGCCTTCGGTGGGGCACTGCTGCAGGCTGAGGGTCTGCAGGAATGTTTCGGGCAAGGGGTGGGAGCTGGTGTCCATCCCACTGGCTCCTTATGGGGGCAATCAATGGTGTCGAAACTCCCAGCTGACACTTCCTTGCCTCATCATTAGACGCCATGAAAGAACCAGTCATAGGAAGGGACAAAGGGACGGACCCTTGGTGAGAGGTCAGCTCCAGCACTGTGGGGCCCAGTCTTACCAGGAGAACGGGCCTGGGGCTCACAGCTCATGCTCTGCGCAGCTGTTCTCTGCTTACCCAGACAATTCAGCGGGAACTCGTTAACATGGAATTGGGAGGAAGTAAACAGTGCCCATTCTCTTCCCCAAGTCCTTCCCTTTTTATTTTTCATATCTCCAACACGGAGGACAGTCCACCTCAGAATGTCTGTGGTCCCCTCTGCCCTGAGGGCCATGGCTGGGGAGGCAGGGGCCCAGTGCTGGAGGACAGGGGCTGGACACACTCCCCAGTGAGGGAGCCCCACGGGGACCAGAGCCCGAAGACCTTCAGCTCTAACCAAGGAGCCCCCAAGATGGGACAGCCCAGGTGTGTGTGAGCCTAACCTGGGGCCAGGTCCTGGGCTTTTGCCTTCGGTGTCAGCAACACAACACGGCACGCACAACTTTCCACCCATCAGCAATCCACTAGTGTGTGTCCCACGCTGGAACTGAGTATGGTGGGACTTGTCAAAAACGTAAAAGGGAAACAAGAGAGAAAACAGCAGAGAGAGATGAAGAACTCAGCCTCTTTAAATACCATCCCCTCTGCGGGCGGTCAGTGCCAAGGTCACAGGGCCCCACAGCTGTGTGGCCACCCTAGGAATGAGTCCAGTGTGCTCAGAGGCACCCGCCAGCCGACTTCCAGTGCCTACCTGATCTGGAGAGAAGAGTAAAATATAAAACCCTCTTATATTTTACTCTTTCCTGTATTCTGCAGAGCTGTTTAAACCTGAAATTAAACGAGCGAGCTGGTATACGGCAGTGTCTTAGGGGGGCTTAGCACCTGCCTGGCACAGGAGCACCCACTGTGTAGTGTTTATCTTTCTTATTAAATCAAAGGAAGAATGGAGAGTCCACAGACCCTCTCAGCACACAAAGGGATATTTTCACCCCTGCCTTTCCTTCCAAATATGCAGATGACTACCACAGCCCAGACACAGCACCCTTGGCAGAGGACTCAAGGACTTCACTCTGCCAGCCCTGGGTGGCCCTACCCGGGCCTCCTTTCCAGGAAATTGGGGTTTGCCTGCCCTGCCCAGGCTGTGAAGAGTATGTCCCAGGCAGATCCTGGATTCCACTTCAACCCTGCAAATCCACACCCCACCCTCACACTTCACATGGTCCCCCAGCCCAGAAGGGACTGGAAGAGTGGAAGCACCTGTCCCTGTGCAGGGAGGAAGCAGGGTCAGGGGACCCTCAGGGCCTCGCTGATCATCCCATGAATGGGCACACCTGGTCCTACCATCCCGTCCACCTGAGCGGCACTGCCGTCTGTGTGGAAGGGAAAGTGGCGAGGTAACAATTGAGCAGTCAATCAGTGGCATCCGCTGCCCACGAGGGAGTGAACTTCCCATCACAAAGCGATGGCTCAGACCCGACCTGGCATTGGCTATGGCATGGTAGTGCCACTGCCTCTCACACACCCAACCCTTCGTTATCCGAGGGCACCCATGACACTCAGCAGCCACACTGGTGTCCCCTTGCCCTCAGAGTCCCGCTGTCCTCTGCGGAGTCCCTGAGCTCACAGAGCTGAGCTCAAAGGCGAATCCTGAAATCCGGAGGTGCTGAGCTGTGGCCCGTTTCTATCTTTTCTTTCCACTTCTAAGAAGGAAGCTGTGTCTGGATCCTTCCTGCATTGCTGGTGGGAATGTGAAACTGTGTCACCATGGAAAACAGTGTAGCAGCTCCTCAAAAAACAAACATGAGTGTTGTTCTGATCACCAGTCCCACTTCTGGGAATATATGAAAGAGAACTGAAATCAGGGTCTCAAACA